CGGAAGTTTGCCAAATGCCCACAAAATCCAGGCGGTTGGGCTAACTGACATTTGTGTAATTGGTATTGAAGAAAACTGTTGGACCTTCCAATCCAACCGGTGTTTCCGGCAGGTTTTTTTTAACAAAGCACCGTCAAAAGAGGCACCCATGCCTTGTGGGGCTAGCCCTACGAAAGCCATGTGTCAGGCATGAGTTCTGCGGTATTGCCTGCAGGAGTGCACGGGTGGGCGAGTGAGCCAACATCTTGCTTGGGTTGGACCCTTTAACAGGTTAGCCATGTTTGCTGCCAATTCCAGTTCATGATGTGACAGGCAGCCTGGGAATGCCCTTTGCCCTTTGAGCATTTCTCAAACGCTCCAACAGACTCTGTGCTCCCTGCAGGAAACACACGTCCCTTCACCTCTGATTCTTTGGTTGGAGCCGTTGTGATTAAAGCAATTACAGACACAGAGACGCAGAGACCGGCAGACAGACAGACAGACAGACAGACAGACAGACAGACAGACAGACAGACAGACAGACAGACAGACAGACAGACAGACAGACAGGAACAAACACGGATAGCAACAAACACAGAGACGGAGACAGGGTGCTGGCTGCTTTGTGATTTGTGGGGAAGGCGCAATGGAGCATGGTTGAAGTCCCCTTGCAAATTGTGGACGCATGCTATCCACAAAAGGGTGCCGCCAATTCATGACACTGGATGTGGGGGCTTGAGGACTGAATTCGAGATCGCGTGGGACAGGCTATGTGGGTGCAGTGCTCAGAGTTCTGCTGGCTGCCCAAAGATCGGGCGTTCTTTGAGAGTATGTGTTTGTTCCTGGGGGTACCCTTTTTGGGGTGGCTTTACGCCAAAAGAAATCCCACCTGTGGAGTCCCCCAAAAAACGGGTTGAAGGGGTCGTTGGTAAATCATGAAATCAAGGCAGTTGCTTTTTTGGCGGCTGATGATTGACAAAAGCGTTTGAATCGCCATTACCAGCAGATTATTTGTGCATTTGTGGTAGTGTCTGCCACTGGCGCCGCCTCTGGAAGCTAGCTAAAAGGGGGGCCAGTGTTCCAGGAATCAGGATATAACCAGGCTTGCAAGGGTTCATTTGGAGGGTGAGCTGAGGCCCTTCAGTTCACTTGCTTGGCTCCCGGAAGAGCAAAGCAGCGCTTGCTCCAATCATCACCCAAGTGATTTGCAAGGACCCTGATTAAGATCCCCTCACAGTTCAATGATTGGGACCAGTTGACCTGACTTTTATGCTGGGATTTTGTGGTCGTAGAGGGACCTCTCATCTCAATTCAAACCTCACACATGAAGATGTTTTTACGGTGTGCCCTAATTTCAGGTTGGTTTGCAAGTTGCCAGTGTCCCAAAAACAAGGGCCCACGCTGGTTTCAGTCCTGATGTCCAAGCAACTAGCTGCAGGATTTTAGCAAATCACCCAACAGAAGGGCATGTTGACATTCACTGGGTTTTCTGATAACCTTCGAGCATTTAACCTTTTGGACAATTATTGTTTTCCCAGCAGCAAAAGGTTTAAGTCGCTACCAACCATTTGCAGGACTGAGACGCCGAGTCCATCCAGGTGTTTTGGTCATTTCGCTCGGTTCGAGAGGTGCTGCTGCACCAGCAAGCAGCGGGAGCCGCCGTGATGATCTCGGCTGTGCAAGCAATGGCCGCTAACCGCTTGCCTTCGGTGTTGGTTAAGAATCTGATGGAATGTTCCTAGGTTGATGAAGAGAAGCCACAGTGGCCGTTGCTTGGCAGAACTTCTTTTCTAATTCACAATCAAATAGACAGATCACAGAAGTAAGCATTCGATCAATATGTATACAGATCTCAAAATTACAAACTAATAACCAAGCTTATATTTCTATAATTATGGGTTTGAATTTTCGAAATAATATGTTTTATTTGGTTGTACAAATATATTTATATATAAGGATCGACTAAAACCATTTATGTTTTTTTTGTAAGGATTAATTCGAAAACATATTTGGTATTATGGTGTTGTGGTGGAAAATTGTGGAAGGTTATGTGTTATTATGGGATGATGTTTTATTTTGTATTATACGAATATTGAAAAATGGTGTTGTTTGAGTTGGGATAATTTGTATTTTGTTAATATTTATGAAAAATACAATTTTTGAATTGGATTATTAAAATTATATGCTGATTTGGGATTTTAACCGTTTTAATAAAGGTTTATTGAGGATTTATTTTAGGTTTATATTGGGAATATTTAATGAGATTTGTAAACACGGTTGGGCATTTTGCGCTTTTGGGGGTATATTAAATAACAATATATATATTACGAAGAGATATTTTTAAATTGAATGCTGGTTTTGTTTAGGATACGGATTTTATAAGTGTATTTAGCAAAATTAGGTTATACCGATTTGGTAGTTGATGGATTCGACGATATAAGGCTCTAATGGTGTAATCGAATTCCGATTTGTTTGATTATACCCGGTGAACCTCGTAAACCGTTTTGTAGAATTTTCTTGAGCTTAAGATAAAACTTTGTTAGAATCTTTCTTTAAGATTGTCCCATAATTTTTGCAGAACCTGGTGGAAACCTCATAGAGCGCTTTTGGAATTCTATTCCATAACCCTCGCAGCTTCGTGGAGTTTTTAGAACTTAAAACCTATTAAATAATATTTAATAATGATAAATATTTATTCTGCTATATAGTGATTTTGCCACAAAGCCAAAGCATTGCTTGAGCAAGTGATCAAGTAACAAAATAGTGAAAGTATGCTGAAAATCATTAATTTCGGTTTTGCTTAGTGTTCCGCCCATAAGCAAAGCGATTATTCCGATGGCTTTTTAGATGGAGTGATACATTTATGGAATTTATGGAGCGAAACTGCTGTGAAACCCTTACCTCAGCCACAGCCCATGGAACCCTAGAACCCTCATGGAACCCCCACAACCTTCCTCAAAACCTGGTATAAAACCCTTATAAAACCTTACCTTGCAGAATCCGGGGGAACCCGTGGCCGACCCTCATAGAACCGATCCCGATTACCTAATGGAATCCTGGCGGAATAATTCACCCTTGCAGAACCTTTGGTGGAACCTGATATAGAACTATCCCAACCCCCCCGAAATCCTCGTAGAACCCTTTTGGAACCTAACCTCAAACCACCCCGGATGCAACCTACAGAACCTGGTGGAACCGAATCTAGTGGAATCCTAATAGAACCTTAGTGGAATCCTCATAGAACCTTCATAAAACCTTATCCCAAATCACCCGGACCCTCGTAAAACCTAATCGAAGCCTAACGAAACCTCATAGAACCCTTATAAAACCTTATTTCAAACCATTCCATAACCCTTACAAAACCCAATAGAATCCTAATAATAAAACCTTTATAAACCTATATAAACCTTACCTCAAAATAAAACCTTAAAAAACCCTAATAAAATCCTCATAGAATCCTCATTTGGTGGAACTCAAACCATCCCATACCACCCTATAACCCTTGCAAAACCTAATAGAACCCTAATAAAATCCTCATAAACCCTTATTTCAAACCACCCCGGACTACCCCATAACCCTTATAAAACCTAATAGAACCCTAATAAAACCCTCGTACAACCTTACCTCGGACCACCTCACAACCCTCGCAAAACCTAATAAAACTTTTGTAAAACCCTTATAAAATCCTCATAACATCTTATCTCAAAAACGCCCCGAACCATCCCGGAGCCTATCTAGACTAAGATCCCAAATTTTTAGCCATATGAAATTTTCGAAAAATTTCGGGAAAACACATCGCCAAATTAGGGAAAAAAATACAAAACAAAAAATCTAAAAATTATATCATCGGAAACAACCAAACGAAAAAAAAAAAAAAAATATTACACCACGAAAATTCTATATAAAATTGTTAAAACCCACAAATGCCACGATAAAATAACAATCATAATCGGTCATCACAAACACTATATCACACACAAAAAATACAACCTCGAAACCGATTTATAACATTAATAAATATATATAATTTATAAATATTAAATATAATAATATAAATTATTAAAACATATTAAATATAATATAATTTAGTAATTGTAAATAATAAATATATAAAATTATTTAAACATATATATAATATATTTAAAACCAAAAACCACAATAAACATATAATTATATTATAATCCCAAAAAATAAAATTATAAACAATATCAATTCCTAAAAAATCCGAAAATTAATTATATTAATTTATTAAACACCATCAAATTCCTAAACATCTAACAACCAAATCATCAAAATGCACATTTTGTTTACTAAACATTTAATTTAAAAAACAAATTATACCATCAACATTCTAAACACAAATCTAATATCCATCTCCAAAATTTCATCGGCATCTATCAAATTATATGCTTTATTTTATATGTTTATCTCTATATTAATATAACCATTCAATACAATTATAAATCGACCAACATACCACTACAACAACTCTATAACCTACGAACAATACAACGCCAAAACCACACCGATTTATAAACAATTTATAGAAGATTCATTAAATAACTATAGCCGATACATTTAAATATTCTATACATAACATATATAATATGTTTTAAATCAATAATTTCAAATGATTACACCATATAGTGTAATTATATTATTTGCTTATCCCAACGAATTTGAGATATACAAGCGACGACCTACATGGCACTGGCACAACGTAGAAATGAAAAGCATTGTGCACGAAATTGTTTAGGGTGCTTTCAAATTCAGGGCACATCTCCAACCACAGCTGGTTTTCTTGGTGGCAAACAAAAAGAGAAACCAACCATGGACGGGTTGCAAAACATCCACCTGAGTATTTGATCTGCGCAAAGTGCACATCAGGGGTCGCCATGCCGTGCTCACTGTGCACTTATGTCGAAACTGGGCTATGTGTGCTCCATGCACATAAATTGGCAACCACCAGGGTCTGATGATTTCCTTGCGTCCAACCGGCGACTTTCCAAAGGCCCAGTCCCGGAAAAAAAGGCAAGCCTCCTCTTGTGTCTCTGCCATTCGAGTTCCCTATGGAAAACCAATGGCCAAGACCAACGAGGGCATGTCATGTCATGTCATGTCCACGCTTGCACTCAGCCCCGCCTACATGGGAAAGTGATCGAAGCTATCAGACCTTGGCAGGACTTCCTGGGCCTCTTTTGGGCCTTCCGCCTCATATTGCCTCAGCTGATTTCTCACTTCCTGAGTGGATTGGCCAAACAAGGAGCTTCTTGTTTACCACTATGAAATAGCCTTCCCAAGAAAAGGTCTTGGGGCCGTTTGTAGTCTGTCAGCATTGCGACATGGGAATGGCACTGCCAGATGTCCAAGGTGGGGCAATTCCAGCTTCGAAACCCACTCAGACCAATGGTTTTCTCGACATCATGGTTTTGGGAAGCGGGCCAGTTCCTTTTGCTATACCTAAGGCTGAGTGGTTGGTTCTCATCCCCGTGACTGCTTTTAGCCTGCTTTAGCAGTGAAAGAGGGAAAGCGGGGTTGTAATGGTGTGACACATTCAGTCAGTCGGCTTGCAGCTCTCCTAAAGGGGCTGTTGGGAGGGGGTGCGCAGGATTGACAAACAACATGCATGAGGACCTTGACCTCAAGTTTTCGGGGCGGACATGATGCTGTGGGCGGTGATTTGGGGCAACCTTGGACTGTATGAACCCAGAACGGAAATTGAGATTTGAGATTCCAGCAGATTGTTCAGCCCCAACGAACCTCTACATGTCAACACGTCAAAATGCGCGCATGCGTTTGGGGCTGCCGTGGGCCCGCGCGGCAAAGTCACAGCCTGGCTGTGCGGAGACACGGCAGTTTGGAGGGCTGGACAATTCTAGCAAATGCTCCCTTCAAATTCTCAGTTGCCCAAAGGACCGGGAATGAAATAGTTAACCTGGTGGGGCCATGACTAAAAATTAACCAAGGAGAACTCAGTAGAGGCCCCTATCGTGGGTGGGACCGCCTTTTTGTTGGATTCCATGATAATTCCTCCAGATTCCCGAGAAACGAACCCTGCAAAGGAGCCTACCCAAAGCTCCCATTGGGCCCTCTTGCAAACAACAATCGGCAGCAGGCTTTTGCTGTTGCTTTTTGTGAGGATGTTCTCCAAAACCCGTGCTCGATGATGTCTGCAAGGCGCTGTTCCAAGCTGCAGCTACCACCACCACCCCCTTCAAACACGGCCTCGCAGCTTTTGCCCTTTCCAGCAAACGATTTGCCCCGCCTGCACTGCTTCAGCGCGCAGCCGCGCTTGCTCACAGGCCAGCTGCATGCACTGGCCGGGGGCCAACGTTCGCTGTGGGGGGTCTTACTTCCCAACTTGTTTGCCACTGAAAACCGTGCTCCCAAAGAGTAAGGGCGTGAGTGGTCGCTTTGTCGTGGTCTGCAAACCTCTGGGGTCGGGGCGCTTCTGATGTCTCTCCGCTTTCACACGACCCATCTTTGGTGTTTGACCTTTGGATCATTGCTATCTCCAGGAGCCCAAACAAGGGTTGTCTACACTGGGAACGTCACTGATCGGATAAAAGGGGGGCTCTTGAAGTCGACGGCAAGTCTCCTAAGAACAACATTGCAGGAAATCATGCATGCCTTGTCTCAACATGGCGTCCACTGGAAATTTGTTTGCCATCGCAGGTAAACAAATCAGCTTCTGCCAAAGATGGATTGCTCTGGAAAGCTACTCTGCGTGTTCTTTCTCAAACATGCCAAAGATCATGTCCAGAAATGATGCTCGTCTCCGAGAGTGAATAGCCTCGACGAGAGCTTGAACACATGAGCATCTGGCCAATGCTGTTTTTGGACCCTGTTTTCTTCTATTGTCCTGAGAAAACTTCGAAAGACTCATCCTTCTCGGCTGTGCTGGAGCTTTGTGCATCGGAGCTGAAGACTGGCGCCCACGCACTTCGCGCTGTTTTGGGGCGCCATGGCTGAGCAGGCAAAGAAGCGAGGACTGGAATTGCCATGCCTCCCCCAGTCCTTTCTCTCGAAACTTGGCCCCACATGGTGAGCAATTCTTGGCATCGTTTCACGACGCTGTGCCTGGATTGTCCAGGCGAATTTGAGGTTTGCTATTGTCCCTGTCCAAAGACCGCGCTAGCTGACGAAGGGAGGTCGCTGGAAGATCATGTTTTTTCTCAGAGGGACCGTTTTCCATGTTAGCGGGAAGTCAATGTCGGCAATTAGTTAAAGGAGGACCAGCGTTTTGGCTCCAAGTGGGACAAGAAGCAAGCCGCGCTACAATAATAAGTGCTGCACAGTCAGCCGAAGGAAGTAGTGTTCAGATGCGGCAAAGACGGTAATCAGGGCCATAAATTCGAGCGAAAAGGGGCAATGAAACGCAAACAAGTTGAGAAGACATCCCAATCTGCTAGTGAGTCGCCTCATGAGACCAACGAACCCGTGAATGAGATGCTGACAATCAGACTTCGGAATGTGGCGAGGCAGTCTTCTTTCAGCCCAGCCTACCTTTGTGGCGCGAACCCAAGAAGTCCCTGGAAGACAAAGGGAGCGCTTGTTTGATTTTGGCAATTTTCAGTGGGAATCAGTCATACCCACAAAAAAGGAAAAGTAACGGCGGTCACCAAGCTTGACTGGGACACACAACGGGGTTCACTGCCCTCGTTCAGAATCTCCCCTTTGCCTGCTTCTGGAAAGGGGTCTTGTGCCCAGTCCCACATTGGGAGGAGGTAGTGTAAGCAAAAATCCAGAGCCGAGTTGGCCTCCAAAGGGAAGAAGGTTGTTGAAACAAACAAGGTTGAAACAAAATCTGGCTTGAAACAAAGTGAAGAAAGGGACACCAGCAAAGAAACACAAAGAAATCCCAACAAAAACAAACCACCAGGAACCTGGTTGGAGGCTCGAAGTATTTGGGTGGCCCTTGACAAAATGGCCGATCTGTGCAGCCGATCCGTGCATCTGCATTCTGCGCGGGACAGAAGCCCCACGAAAGAGGGAAGCACGAGGGCGCGCCCTGCCTGGAGATGGAATGGTTTGTTTCCCCGGCTTTGCTCCGAACATTTTGGGGGTACATTGCCGTACATTGGATGCACTTAGTTCAAGTTCTGGGGAGTATCCTCTGTGTGGTTGTTTGAAAAAGGAAACATGCTGGTTTAAAGGAAAGAAGAAGGAGCAAAAGGCACCAAGGTCGGTGTTGTTTGAATCATTGACTGGCTTCCCATTTTTGGGGCTTCCCGTTCAGTGTTGTTTTTATACTCGACTTCTTCCTTTTTGGGGGGCCTGCCTCCACATCGTTGGCTGGCATTGCTTGAATAATGCAACTTGATCTGCAGAATTCTTCGGGCGCCTCAGTGCAAATAATCCGTCTCCACAAGCATGTGCATTCCTCAGGTCCTGTCTTGCTGCCAGGGTTGGGCCAGCCCTTGTTGAAATTACATGGCCAGGAACACCTGTTGTTTCAACCACCCCGCTTGGTTGCCTGTGCGGGCCAAACCTAGAACTGAAAGGGTGGTCTATCCTTCACGGCTCGCTGGGAATGTGGCTCAGTTGCTCAAACCAAGCTTGCAACATGCAACCAACCCTGGCAACAAGCTGGCAACTCAAGCCCGCACCATCCGGGCGCGAGCCGCCGGCTCTGGACCATGCCGCAGTGGGAGCACTACGTTCAGCCGCACATCCAGCGAGTGAGGAGGGGACGCGCTGGAATAGGTGGCCGTCCTTGGCTGCAAGTTGCTGAACTTGAGTGGTTTGGTCAAACAAGGGTCAGACTTGCCGTCTAATGTTGTCTACCACAAACATGTTGCCCCCCAAACAAAAAAGGATCCCCGTAAATGGGAAGTGAGACAAATCAAGGACACCAACTTCGTTGGAAGACGTCCGTCCAAACACTGTCACAAGACTGTTGGTGTTTGGGTGTTCAGCCAAGTTAGTAAGCTGTTGTTAACCAAGAGTGCAATCCACTTAAAAAGTCCCCTAACATGGTGTTAGCCTAGTTTTTAGTGGGCTATATATATGTGAATATATATATATATATACGTAGACACAAATAGCAAAAGTAGCTGAGCACGCAGTACCATGGTCAACCATCCAAGTAATCGTTCTGCAAATGGAACAACTTTAGTGTCAAGACCCGGACCTCCGAATATCTCCGAATGCCCAAATTGCCAAAACACTGTGTGTTGCGTTCAGGTTGGGGTCATTGCCTGCTTTGAACATCACTCCAAAGGAATAACTCAATCAAACTTGGCCCCAATGCTGATGAGTAAACCAGGAAAATAGGTACCCACAATGAAACCCTGGTACATGGAAACAAGGACTCAAACCTGCGATCCTTTGGTGGCTTAATTTTTAAAACAAGCCCACATAAGGATCCCCGGTACCGTGATCACTCAGGATCCGTGCAATAGCCAAAGCACACCCAGACGGCACTTTGTATTGCACGCATCCTCCTGACTGCCAGTCTGCAGTGGGATATGTCCAAACGGTTCAGCTTTTTGGGGTGTAGCGAGAAGACTGCCAATTAAATATATAATGTGGGTCCATGTGTTCAACACAATCGGAAACCACTTCGATGCAGGAAGCGACTTCGATCCAGGCTGCTTCCCAACTTACATAGGAACACCCATGTTCTAAAAACACGTCTACCTTCGTTTCCTCTTAACACCAACCATGCAAAGTGGTGCCCGGAAAATCATCGATACTGTCATACTGAAGTAGGATTCCCAAGCCACTGGCTCGAGGAGTGCTTTTTCGCCGAAAGAGGAGCTGGTATCACAGCAGCCGCCCCCAGCAACCTTCAAACAAACAGGAGTCCTGCTCTTCACATGTTATATCATGTGATCATTGTTTTCTCAGAAATAAAGGTCGTTGAACCTTGTCCGGTTCGCCGAGGCGCCAGGAAGCACCCGCAGGGCCTTGGAACAGGCTCCTGGCGCTTGCTCGCGGCGCGTTTTGCCCTCTACCCGAAGTCAAGCATCTATCCCTTTCTGACACGTCAAGTCCACAGGCTTCTGGGTTGATTTCCTGCAAGTAAGGTCTAACAAGGCCGGAAGGTGGGGTATGCTTGCTCTTCGCCAGCTCAGTCTGAAACCGTCCGTCCCCGTCAAGAACCGTATCAAGCCTCTTGTGTTTCGGGGGGGGGAAGCTTTCTGGTCTCCGTGCATGGCTCATCAATTGTATGTTTTCTTTTGACGGCTACCAAATATTCTCAACCCCCCCCCCCCCCCCCCGAAACCCCGAAACCCCCGAAAGGTGCCCAGGTGCTTTGGTAGCCCGTGTCTTGATATAGCACTTCAGGGCATCGATCGAATGAAGAATTCGAAGAGATATTGAGCGATTATCGAAACCGTGCCTTTGCACATCGTCGGGGTGTTTTAGCCCTCCTCGAATGCAAAGTCAGTCAGCCCAATGTTCAAAGCGCACTAACAAAGGCTAAAAGGTGGCTGGGGAGCAAGCCCAACCAACTGTGCGTTGTTGTTCTTTTACATCTAACAAAAGATCTGATTGCCAATTACCAAGGGGCGTGCTGGGTGCTCAATGCCCACCTGCCCAGACAGGTCCCGCCTCATTTCCCCCAGCACAGCGGAGGTGGCGCTGACGCAGGAAAGCGCCCATCCTGAGCACAGCAAGTCCGGCCAATGCTTCACAGCCAGAGATCAGGAAGCCCCGAATACGAAACCTTCATCATGGGCGAGCTCATTCCCCCCCCCCTTTGCAGGTGAGCTAGTGATAATTCGTGCCAACTCCAAACTAGGTGCCTCTTAACTGGGCCAGGCGGATCACTGATCCGACACTTTGGCGTCCGGCAATGTGACACAAGACATCTGGAGTGCTCGGTGGGGCTCTTACTGCTCGCACTTTACTGGTGACTTCTATCATCTGCTACTTGGATGCTAGGCCACGAGTACGTGGCATACTGAAATGTGATTGCATTGGGAAGCGCGCTCCGGCAGCAGCAGCAGCAGCAGCAGCAGCAGCAGCAAATGAGCAAACGATGAAGGGTCAACCTTCCTGACCATGACCACGACATGAAAGCCCCAAAAAGCAAAACTCGGATAATGACTGCATATGTGCCACGGAGGACGTGCCACCATGATTATACCCAAATACGGGGAACTGTCGGCAACTCTGTGGATTGGTCAAAAACATCTGTTTTGCCACTAAAATGGTCCTAAAAGCAGAAAGCCCAGGAACTCAAGGAGTGGGACCAGTGTAGATGTTTAGTCTTGCTCAAAAAGGTCAACTGAACTTGCGTTCGGCCACTTTCCTCAAATTGCTTTCAAGGAACTGACCTCGGTATTTTGCAATTGCGGGGGGGGC